TCGTGCGTATGTGGGGTAAAGCAGCGGAGCTTTTATTATGCCACAGTCGACCGCTTCCGCTCCTTCCGGTCGTGTGTATGTGGGGGAAAAAGCAGCGCTGTTTTACCATACTAGATACGTTTGAAAGTTCTGTTATAATGCTACTCTATGTGGTCGTCACCGGTCTATTAAAACGCACAACATATTAAAGAGTCTTTGGTGTTTCCATGTTTTCTACAAAACAAAACTGGAAATCGAGGGGTTATGACGTCATTGGCAGGCGACACAATGACACTATGGACACGGTCCGTGTCGCTAGTTAAAATTGCTTATTTCTCTGGATTTAAACATTCTTTGAAACATTTGGGATAATGTAAGTACACAAGTCAGCAAAATATATAACACTGTTCTAGTGGTTTTTGGATATTTTAATAAAACAAATCTTACATATTGTGCCTTTAACTGATGGACTGGAGTGGTGTGGTTTACTTGTGGATTATTTTCATGTTTCTATCAGCTGTTTGGACTCTCATTATGACAGCACCCATTCACTGCAAAGGATCCATTGTTCAAAGTGTTGTCATGCTAAATTTCTCCAAATTTTCTGATGCAGAAATAAACTCATCTACATCTTGGATGACCTGAGGGTGAGTAAATTCTCAGTAAATTTTCATTTTTGTGTGAACTATTCCTTTAATTATTATATTAATTACTATTACTAAATTACTGAGAATCTTTATTGATAACGATATGACTAAAAAAATGCATTACGGTAATGAGAATGGGGTACAATAATGTGAAGTAAATATTAAATTTATTCTAATATAATGGTTATAATTTCAGTTATGTGGTGATGGAAGTTCAGCTCACTCTCTCCAGTCATCACGCCCTGTGTGTACCTCTTGGGTAGCATCCCAGTGTAACCATAGAAACTGGACTGCTGCACTGTAAAGGTCAAAAGGACAATGTTTACAGAACACAAAAGCACAATGTAGGCCGATGGAAAGAGCATGATTGCTTGTATATATTCACCTGTGCATCCAAATGCAACAATGGCAATTGCAGCCAGAGTAAGAGCATAGGATTGCTGAGTGTCAAACAGCTCCAACCAGACATCAAATACACTCACAAACACCAAAGGTCCCAATGCAAATAGATATCCTATTCATACAACACAGGATATTTAGTGATTTTGCAATTGAATAATAAGAATATGTGTGTGCGTATGCATAGAAAATGGTGCGAAAGAGCTTGTGAATTTTATTAATATTTTGAGGTGGTTTTTGCATGTTCTCACCCACACAGATGCGAGTGTTTAAGCTCAGTCTCTCCACGAGTGCGTTGTTCACAATGACAGCACTGAGAGCCACTAGAATATACGTCAAACTCATGTCGAACACAATAGAGGTGCCTGACAATGGAAGAGAAGTATTTTGACTGTGCAATGCATAGTTATCGCTTATCCACCTACAGCTCTGAGAATTTAATTTAGTCTTTCCTGTGATGTGCGACAGGTTGCATCACACCTATGAATTTGCGGTGGAGGTAGTCCACATCGGTGATGAAACTATTGTATGGCAGCAGAAAGCCGACACCAGCCAACAGCATGGCAAAGTAGATGCCATGGTAGCGATCATCAGGAATGGATTCCTCTGAGTCTGAAAATAAGACATGAGCTTATATGAATAGCAACCAGAATGACAGAGCAGCTAAGGCCTGTTATCTATACATAAAAATCAGCTCTTTTTTGTTGTGCATGATGGTGTCTTACACTAATGCAGGGTTTCCCAAAATAGGATTTGTAAACCCCAGGGGGTTTGTGACTTGACAAAAAAGCTAATAATTAAAATGAATTATTTTAAAATTCAAACAATGGAAATAAAAATTACCAAAAAGATATTCAATATTTTTATTGTTTATTATAAATATTACAAACCAACATTGGAGAACCATGAATGTATGTGCTGTTGAATAATTGAAATATTCACTTAAAATCTCAGAGGAAACTTCAAGTATTGGATGGTAATGCATGTCAAAGGGAACTGAATTGAATTTTGGGAAATTCAAGCATCATATCCATATCCATATCCATATCAATGATAACCTCATGCATGCATCATATGCATAAATATATATGCACTGACTGCATTTTGTAAGTGCAATTTAATGCATTATTACATATGTGCAATTTTTTTATGGCCCGGTTATTGCTTGATATAAGCTGTGTTGTACATATCTGTAACTCACCCTGAGCACTGTGCGGTTTTATCCTACCCATCTTCTCCTCGTCTGGCAGCTGACTAAAGCTGAAATTCGTGATCACAGACTTCTCTCTACCCTGCCGATTCCTGCTCCACTCCTCGGAGTACATATCTGGAAAAATGACAGAATTCACACATGGGAAATTTCATGCTGTCAAGAGACATATGAATTCATTGGGATTGTCATCAGAATCAGAATTAGAATCAGAATCAGAATTAGCTTTATTTGCCAGGTGTGTGCAAACACACGAGGAATTTGTTGTGTTTTTTTAAGGTGCTCCTGGTACATACATGCATACATACATACATACATACATACATATCTGACATGAGAACAGAAAAAACAAAACAAAACAAACAAACAAAAAAACATTTAAATAGTAAAAACTTAACAATAAATAATGTGTATGAATCTGGAACAGTAGATTTATGTACAGATTTATGCATTATTTACTCTATATATAACTGTATAAATAAATAGAAATGCATATGTATTTACATGTATGCTTATAAAATAACAAATAATAACAAACATAAATAATCACATAATAAATTTGTGTGTATGTGTGCATATAGATGCTAGTATAGAGAGGACAAATGTTTTTTCTCTATCATATCTAAATAATTCATTCATGCTGCACATTATAATGTAGTGATATCTAAATTCACTTGAATATTGACATTAAAAATACACTTAACCAGAGAAATATTAACTGGAGTAAAAAGTGTGACAACTTGCCCCTCTAATGCCCCTGTGGACTGTTTGTTGTGGTTTCTTCCCCTTGTGTTGGTTTAGCCCGTCTAATTATTAGTTAATCACCTCATTGTGCTCACTTGTCGGTCCCTCGTTAACTGCCCTATATCTGTTCCTGTCTCTTGTATTCCAGTGCTGTCGGTTATTGTGAATGTTACCCTGAGTGTGTGTCTGACTCTGCCTTGTTGTTGCTACATTAAATATCCTTCTTTTGAATTCTTGTCGTCCTCGTCATCCTGCCTGCCTCCACACACCTGGACCGTGAGAGAATAACCGACCTAAACGTATAGTATAGCGGTGTCTTTTCCCTCCTTTGTTTTGTCCAGTTTTTGTCAGTTTTTATTTCTTTTTTTATATATTTTTCCCACGCATTCCAAATCCTCCAGCTGGAGCAGGAGGAACGCTCTCTTGAGGACCACACCAACAACTTTCTGTCCCTGGCCCACCTCACGCACTACCCGGACAACTGCCTCTGTGGCTTCTATCAAGTTGGACTAAACGCCACCACACGAGCACAGTTGTCTGGGGATGGTCCTCGAGAGAGCCTCGCCGCCTTCATCGAGTGGGTGCTGGTGTCCTGCAAGTCCCAGCTGACCGTGGACATCGCGGACAACAACACCAGCCCCACTCAGGACCCTGAGCCCAGCACACCATCTCCCCGTGGTACGGAGCATAAACCTGAGCCCACCGATGACGGAGAGCCATTTCCCGCCGCGATCCACGAGCCGGAGCAAAGCCCCACGGCTGAGAAGAGGATCGCCTCGGATATGGAGCCCAACACGTCAGACCAGGTGCGAGAGCCGGTGACAGTGCCCACCACGAGGAAGCAATCCGTGGATGGTGTGAGCGCGGAGAGGAGCTCCGCCGCCTGCATCATGGCTGAGGTTGAGCAGAATATGGAGGGCGGTCAGTGCCAAATCGAGGAGGAGAGATCTCCTGATCCCCAGTCCAGCCCAGGAAGGGCTCCTGATCCCCAGTCCAGCCCAGGAAGGGCTCCTGATCGCCCAGGAAGGGCTCCTGATCCCCAGTCCAGCCCAGGAAGGGCTCCTGATCCCCCATTAAGCCCAGGAAGGGCTCCTGATCCCTAGTCCAGCCCAGGAAGGGCTCCTGATCCCCAGTTTCGCCCAGGAAGGGCTCCAGCCCAGGAGCTCTCTCCAGTGCCCGCTCCTCAAAAATGCCCGCACTACCACCCGCTCCGGCCTCCTCCAGCGTCACCATGGTCTGAGTCTCCCTCGCCTCCAGCCTCCGAGGCCCGGACTCTGCCTCGGTCTGTAGACCCAGTGGCTCCACCTCGGCTCCTAGCTCCCTCGCCTCCACCGTCACCCATCGATCCATCAGCTCCACCGTGCTCCC